AACAGGACAGTAACTAAAGCAAGGTATGATACCAAGTGGTCTGATGTTCAGAAGAGCTGGGCAGCCAGGACGGCCACTGAAGTCAGTGCAATGTATTAATAGTTTGTACCTGGAAAAAAAATCAGGTTGTCCTTACTGAGATATTAAATGCCAGTTTTAAAGGCCTGAAACGGAGGTGTTGCAAACTGATAAAGCTCCTTAGGAAGTCAATTTATTTCATCTTGGAATCTTTTCCTAAAGGCCTAATTTGAGGCATCCAGGTTTTTATGTTTTGGTCACATTGTATATAAACAGGCATCTGAATTAATCACAACTCAGTTTAAGGCCAGCATAAGAATACAGGCAATCACATAGCAATTCCGTTCATGAGACCAGAAAGTTACTTATTTCATACCTGATGAAAAAATTAGAATACTTTTTTATATGCAGTGTCCATAACCCTGATCTAATATCTTCAGTTTTCTCTTTAGCTATTGTGGTCCTTTTCATCACACTAAGGCGCAGCAAAAAGGAGCCGCTGATCATTTCTGAGGAAGATGTCCGGGAAAACATTGTCACATATGATGATGAGGGTGGTGGGGAGGAGGATACTGAAGCATTTGACATCACAGCCCTGAGGAATCCATCGGCAGCTGAGGAGCTGAAGTATCGGCGGGATGTACGGCCCGAAGTGAAACCCACACCAAGACATCAACCTTCCTCCAGCCTCGACAGTATAGATGTTCAAGAATTTATTAAACAAAGACTGGCAGAGGCTGATCTGGATCCCAGTGTGCCCCCATATGACTCACTACAGACATATGCATATGAGGGTCATAGATCAGAAGCCGGATCTATCAGCTCTCTAGATTCAGCTACTACACACTCTGACCAGGATTATAATTACCTTGGTGACTGGGGACCAGAGTTCAAGAAGCTAGCTGAACTCTATGGAGAAATAGAATCAGAAAGAACAACTTAGTTATCATTCTTGGAACAAGAAATGTTTTAGTTCCCAAACAACTGGAGGTATAACCACAGCAACAGTAACAATACATGAATAACTTGCAACTGAACAAGTTGTACACAGTTACGGTGGGAAAAAAGTGTCCTTTTCACATTTGAAACTGGGTTCTTCAGTTGGAAGAAAAGCAAATTTAAAAAAATACAAAAAAAAGAGATACTGCTGTCCCTTGTGTATATTTTTTAATTGCTCAATAAAGTCTGTGGTACCACATCCGTAACAATATATAAAATAAACCAAGCAATGACATTTTTATTGCAATATGTATAACATACCAGAGCTACAGTAAGTCTATGATGGTGCCTGTTTATGAGGATAGCTCTCTGGAGAGCTAATCTTATGCAGAGGGTTGTGAAACTATTTCTAGCTCTTCTTAAGGCCTTGGGACCAGCCTAAAGTAACCAATGGGGTTTATTACTGATGTGACAGCCTCCTGCAATCCATTCCTTTACAGAAAGTATACACGGGGACTATCCTTTCAAATGGTTTTTTCATATGGGCCCTTTGTGCCCCTCTAAATAGTTAGGAGGAGAATGGTTGCCGATATAAACACGTGTGCAGCCCATATTCACCAGGCCTGCGCTATTTACGGAGTGGTGCAGAAGCTGTCACAGCCATTGTTTCTGACTTGTCTTTTTATCTTTCCACAAAAATCCAAATGGAATAATATGAAATATTCCTTATGCAGTGAAGCAGATAAGGCATAGGCAGTCTTGCTAAAAGTAACAATGGAGGCACCATTACCTATGCAGGAGTTCAGGTCACTGGGCTTCACTGGGATGATGCTAACTATTTTCATGCTGCTCTGTGGCCAGAAGCTACAACAGTCATTTTATGACTCTAGGGATTTCCTAGTCACGTGTCACATTTATTTGCATATTAATGTGACCAAAGGAAAAAATACAGCTGCTGGTAAAATATTGTCTCAATGTGGAAAACAAGGAGTTTAAGTTGATGCTACTTGGGTTATTTATTTATTTATTTTCTATTTAATTTTGCCTAATGCTGAAGGATCTTAAAAAATTCCCCATGAGGCACAACAAGGTGTATTCTTTTTGTTTTCCTAATTTAATGTTTGATGGGTACATGAGCATACTTTAAGGTCAGTGGAGGTGGAAAAAAGTTAAATGTAAAATGCCATTACTGGGGTTCACATTGAGTTGAATAAATCAAGCTACTCCATTGTTAATTGTCTATCATTATGGATGCTGCAGTGTCAGCATTTTAACACTCAATCCAGCCTTTTGTCACATTTTCCTTAGGGAAGCAGGAAAGAAGTTTTCTTCTGTTCTTTGTCTGTCATACTCCCATGCTCTAATAGGCCCAGGCATCACAATAATCTGGTAGGAAAAGGATGACAGCCCAGCATTAAGAGTGGTGTGGTGTTTGAAAGCTCCTTAGGGGAGGCTGGGGAAGCAGATTTTTTCCCCAACCTCTGCACTGCACAAGGGAGTAATATCTGCTACTCTGCTCTTTTAAATGGTTAAGGTTAAAAATGCACCAATCCTAGACTTAGTAAGCAAGTATGGAGGAGCAGCAACACCAGTGAATCATTCTTAACATGCTCTCCACTGTATCTTTCCCCACCCTTCCCTGTACTTTTAGGATGCCATTTGCCCTCAGGTTAGTAGAATAAGAAACATTTTTGCTTTACCCATCAGGCAGAGTCATCAGTTGTATGTGTCCGTTCAGGCTATACAAGGGAGCTGGGAAACTCCTTAAGCCCTCCGTCACCACTACATGCCTGCAAAAGAGATAGCTAAAGACTGGACCTTCTGATAAGCTCACAATGACTTTACCTTTGAGATTTTGGAAGTTTTTATAAGTCCCATATGACACTATATAGACAAATCCTTTCAGGCTCATGCTGTCTATCTGCTGTATTAATAGAAAGCTCAGAAGCTTGGAAAGAAACATTTAAAACTTTATTTTGCTGTTTGCTGCCACTATGTTTCAATAATCTCATCCTTTTTTCATGGTTTCTCATTACTTCATGTTCTCCAAACAAATTTTATCCACAAGAAGCAACATTTCTTAAAAATAGCTTATGGAACATGAACTTGTGAAAGTATCAAAGTTATAATAAAAGCTGATTGAAGAAAAGGGATGGTGAACAGGATAATTTACAATTAAATATTCCCTGTCTCAAATGCCGAAATTCAAACTTTCAGTGGAAGCTGGGGGAAAAAAATGATGAAATATTCTTGAATTTGATCTTTCTCTAGTCCAATATCCTGATTCAATTAATGTCTTTTGCAGAATGTCTCTGGAAAAATAAACTCTCAGAGAAATTCATCTAAGAGCTATTTCCATTTAGTACAATACTGAACTGCATGCTTAATATTAAGTTCTTTTTTAAACTTTCCCTTAAACTGAAATCATAATGCACCTAGTGGTGCAAAATATTTTGAAGAGAAAATTCTTACTGGTTAAAATTATTCTTAGTTTATCCACCATTTGTATTTTTGTGTAGCATCAATAGAGTGGTGGGTAAGTAAGTAACTTAAAGATAAAAGCTTTCATAATATATATTATCCATGTTCCAAAATACTTTGTGTTACTTCTACTCAGAAATTACTATTCATTATTATGGTATAGTTTTAAATTATAAAAACTAGGTAAGTTTATGCTGAATTAATCTCTCCTTCCCATAGAGTAAGTGAAATCAACTGCAGTTTGAACATTATGCAGTAGTATATATGGTGCTTTATTATTGCATAATAATATTTGCGTAATATTGCGTAATATATGCAGGTTTGAAGCCAACAGAATTGAAGAGCAAGGACATATAGGCAGATAGCTTCTCATAATGTTCATGTTCTGGTTAAATGAATGAGAGTAAGAAATCATATCTCCTAGAAAGAATAAAACCCTTTTGAATGCTTTGTAATGTTCCCTAAACCCTGTTGCTACAGGACACATATACTGTCCACAGGACCTCTGTTAAATCATGTGAAGTGCATATTCTGCTCTGGGGTTGTTGAGACTTCTGCACTGATGCTGAGGTGTGTTCTGTTTGATATGTCCTCCCCACAAGGAACTCCAAAATGTGCTATTATATCATTATGAGTCTGCATGCTTGCTATGGTTACTGTCTTTACTCCAGTACACATCATAATACTGTGTTGTTTGGATGACTAATAACAGAATACCAAACCTCCAGGGCCACAAGGAAGGGCCTCATCATGGAGAATAAACAGGTTTGCAGGATTTCTTCTCCCATTATCTCATCATTTCTCCCTCTGTTTTCTTGTCCCAGCAATACACTACAACAATATTTGATGATGTCTGTGTTAATATGATTAAACAGAAAGGAAATTAACATTCTGTCTCATGGCAGCCATGATCATTTTGTCACTCTGCTGGTTTAAGCAAAGTTTACATGCAGTGAAAATTGTGTGTGAAAATCTTTTCCAGTTTGTGGTTGAGTCTGATTGTATTGACTTCACTTAAATCTTTTGTGGATCTCTTGTATTACTCATGTTTAAAAACAATTTACTCTATGCCTAAACACAAATTCTATTGCAGCTTTGCCAACCCAAACACTGGAAGCTGCCCAACTTTTCTAAAGCTGGTAGATTTTGACTCAGAATAGAGCTACATGGGGTTACTTAAGGGTTTATCAATATACAATATTATTTTCCTACAATGACTGTTTGATTAATAATCTATTTACATCCATTATACTAATCAAAATAATTCAAACAAATACTTTTCGTTGAAAGGGTGAGGATCCTCAGCATGTTGTAATCATGACTTGTAATCTGGAAAAGTGGTCTGAGTAAATAGTGAAGGGAAAAAATAATGCCTATGGCAATGGTTCTTAACTTTTTTAGATTTAGGACACCCATAGTTAGACTCAAGTCACCCCTCAGAACATGCCAGCTCTTAGCTTTCACTCTTTGACTACAGGAAAATGGAGCAATTCTTCTGTTACAAAGAACTCAGAAAGACCACAACAGGTCAGAATGCTTTTGACACTATGAATTCCTGTTTGATATCTCTGAGTGTATCTTGTTGCTCATATTTGTATGCCTAACAGTGCTAACATGGCACCCTGCAGCACCCTTGAAAGAACGTCAAGGCACACCTGGTTGGGAATCATTGGTCTAAGGTATGTTGTCAGCTTAAAAATCATAGGGGTTGAGCCAGTGTCCACTGGTCAATAGAAAGATTGCTGTTGACTTTATTGGTTATTCCATTTGGGTATTGGGTATTATTGGGTATTTCATTTGGCTATTCCATTTGGACCAATATACTGTAAGGAAACTGATTTTCTTTATCTATACAACTATTAACATCTTTGTTGATTTAAAATTGGGGACTGGGAGGCACTTTCATGCAATTTGTCTCCTTTTTTATTTCAGTTTGGTTTGGAAAATGAAAATCATTGTAATTAGTTTTGTTTTCAGATTCTAAGTGGTGCCATGTTTCAGTTACAAGTACTACAGTGTTGTATTTGTTTTAAATAATTATTGCCTTTGGCATTTGGAAAAATAATTACAACAATTCTTATGCAAAACTCTTCCAAAATCTAAACTTAGGGCAGTGATGGAGTTAACCATATATTTTACACTCCTCTGAACAGAGTTGCATAAAGAATCACAAATATATTTTTTTTAAATAGAGGAAAACTGAATTGTCCTACACAGGTAATTGTTTTGGGATTACAAAATGATAAGAGACTGTGTACTTGTCATACATATGAAATAGCACAAGGCATTCTGAGGAACAGCAAACAGTTGAAGCAGCATTGCAGGTATTGGGCCATTCTTATTTTTCCAAAGTCTCCAAAAATATATATATTTTTTTTAAGAAAAGAGAAATGTCAAATGTACAATATTATATGAAATTAGGTTACAAATACCTCCTTAAGCAAATGTTATTGTTGGAGATTGTTATGTTTTCTTTGAATAAACAAAGGGGACAAAATGTTTATTCGTATAAGTATTTTTCAAATAAAATATACACTTTCCCATGCTGATGGAACATTGCATTCCTCATCACTCTGGAAATACGCTTCTCATATTCATACATTGTATTCACTTATGAAATATATAACAGTCTGAAGATATTTTATATTTAAGAATAGAATAAAATACAACAGTTTTAAAGAGGTTAATGCCAGAAATGCAGTGGTAAGTGAATAAATTTGATACACTGTTTCAGAGAATGTACTATCTGATTATGGCTATAGATATGAAGGGGAGAGAGAGAGACCCTGAGAGATACTTTGCAATAGTCCGCAATAAATGGTTCATTACTTTTACTCATGATGAGTATTTCACACTAACAACCATTGTCCTGAAACGGAATTAGTACATTTTTGGATGAATAAACTGCCTGCTTGAGTGAAATAGTGAATTACATATACATGGGTCTAGATTGGTGGTAATATCCAAAGTTATTGCCATGTGTCACTGAGGTAGTGGAAAAAAAGGAAAGGACTTGCATAACCAGTCTTAGGCACATGCAATATGTATATTTGAAGTGATCAGTCTTTTACAAATTAATTATTAGTTGTTTGCTGGCAGACTGCCTTTTTACATAATTCTCCTACAGGCCTTCAGGAAAGTTGTAAGAATGGCTTTAATATCTCCTGCTAAATGATCAACATTTTAGACTTGGTCTAGAAAAGAAGTTTAAAAAAAAAAAATATATATATATATATATATATATATAAGTTTTCACTCCTGACAATGAAAACCTTAGGAACTCTTAAATGCTTAATAAACATTATGCCTTTATTCTTGGAAGAGTCTATTTTTAGATCCAGGTTTATAATTACTTTTAGTTTAATTTTAGGGTTCCCACATTTTTTCCTTATCCCCTGCCCTGTTCAGAAAATGTGCTTTTTATATTCAGTTACATATAGTCCTCAAATAATATAAATAATCCCCCCGCCCTTGTCATCTAAGTTTTTCTAGGCTTCTTCTATCCTTACTTTTACTCTCCAGTAGGTTCCAAGTGCCTCAGCAATTCTTCACATATCTCAACCGTTGATTAATTAAATTGGATGGAGCTGCAGCTACTCTAGACAGTAGGGCTAGATCCAGAATGACCTGGATAGATTGGGAAAACGGTCCACAATCAATCAGATGAGATTCATCAAGAACAGCAAAGACCAGCACTTGGGATGAAAAAATTGCGTATATAAATACAAACTGCGGAATGACTAACCTGCAACACTGCAGGGAAGGACCTAGTGGTTTTAGTAGACCATAAGCTAAATATAAGCCAATGATGTGCACTTGTTGCAAAAAAACAAAACAGCACTGGGTTGAATTAACAGTAGTGCCACTTGTAAATTAAGGGAAGCAATTTTTACACTCTATTCAACAGCAGTGAGGCCTCACCTGGAGTGCAGTCTCCATTTTTAGGCCCCACACCTCATGAAGGATGTGGCTAGATTGGAAAAAGTCCAGTAAAGAGCACCAAAATTAATTAAGTATTTGCCTGGGAGGCAAGACTTATGAAGAAAGTCTGAAAGAATTATGATTATTTAGTCTGGAGACAAAAAAGACTAATAAGTCTTCAGATCCCTCAAGAGGAAGTATACAAAGACACAGGACTAGGAGCAGTTGCCTCAAGCTTCAGGAGGAACTCTTTGACTATGAGGGTGGTCAAGTCCAGATAAATTGTGGAATATTCATTCTTGAAAGTTTTCAAGAGCAAGTTAGACAGGCACTTGGCTGGGATGGTTTAGTCCTGGAAAAAAGAGTGTAGGGACTGGGTCTTTTGAAGGTACATAGGCAAAGAGTTTTGGGAATTTGGGAGAGATGAGGGGTAGGAGGTTAGGATCCTTAAGTTAGTCTGGAAAAAATCAAGTTTACGTGAAGAACATTGTTTCAGGTTGTTCCTGTACATTTTGCCCAGTTTTATTTAGTATCAATGCAGAAGTCAGAATAG